ATGCTGCCTAGGTTGACTTCAAACTCATGGTAAACTTAAGTAATCCGCCTATGTAGCTCAAGATAGCTCAGACCTCTTTAATTCCAGGACCTGGGATGCAGAGGCAAGATGACTTGTATAAATAAATTTGAGACTAATCTGAACTACACTGTGAATTCCAGGATACTGACCACCCCCCAAATTATTATTAATTATTAAGTATCTGAAATACACAAGGGACAAAGCACGTATGCACACATGCGTTTGTGTGTGTGTGTGTGTGTGTGTGCACATACACAATGAATGAAGTAACATCATGGACATACTCATTAAACATTGGAGAAAATATAAACTTTTTACTTTACAGTGAATTACATTCTAATACAAAATAAGAGACAGGAAGGGAATGGAAAGATAGCTCAGCACTTGTAAGAGCACTTGTTGCTCTTCCAGAGGGCTCTGGTTCCTTCCATTCTCAGCAGCCACACAGTAACTACCAACCTGTGTTCTCCAGATCCAAGGCCCTTTTCTCACCTCTATGGACACCAGGAACACACAAGTTATACATGCATATATACAGGCATTCGTATACATAAAACAGAATAAATCTAAGGAAAAGACAAAACATTTTTACTAAGATCCTCCATTCTATCCTGTTAAAATACCTTCTCCAAAATAAGTTAAGTGCCTTTCTTAATACTCTGCTCTTTAAAAAAAAAAAGACACTACTCATTTTTAATTTCTAATAGTAGATTCACTGGTAGTTGTCAAATTATTTTTATATCCAAAAGGGTTTTTGCATTTACATACACCCCAAAAAATGGTAGCAAGATCTTTTTACAGAAGTTTCCAACAGGTAAACATAGAAGTGCCATCCTGGGATCAAACAATGAATCAAGGTAGGCCTGGTGACAAATGTGCCACAGAGACACACTCCAGACCAAAGCAAGAAATTCAATCCGTGTTTGCTTCCTTACATCAGATGCACATGTTTTGTTTTTAAAGACATGTTCTCATTACACTTTGTAGACAAAGCTGGCTTTGACCCCACAGAGATTCACCTGCCTCTGCTTCCCAAATAGTGGTAGGCATGCTCGAGCACAGCCAGCAAAAAGGCACTTAAAAAACAAAAGAACATTTATTACTTTTATATTCACATATGTATGCCTAGATGAGTTTATGTGCACCACGTTCATCTAAGAGCTTGGAGAGGCCAGAAGAAAGTGTTGGAACCCCTGGAACTATACTTAAGGGCAGTTGTGAACCCCCATTCTAGTACTAAGAACCAACCCTGGTCTTTTGCAAGACCAGTGCCCTTAACTGAGCTATTTATTCAGGCCCTGAAAACATTTTTTAAAATATAGCCTTACATGCAATATTGCATTTTATAGCTTTGTAAAAATAAACAGGGCAGAAATATAACTCACTTGTTTCAAAAGCCTGCAGACCTGACTCAGAATCCAAACTATGCAAAGATGGAGGGAGACCAACTCCACAAAGTTGTTCTCGGACTTCCATTTGTACACTATGGCAAGAACAACCTCCCAACACATAAAAACTAAGTTTTAATTAAAATAATAAATACTAGCAAAGACCCTTTGCAATCAAGTTGCAAAATCTCAATTCCTCCTCCTAGTCTGGAGGGTCCTAAACATTATACAAGTCATAAATTCAATTGGATTAAAATTTCTAGAACAGAGACTACACATATCATTCATCTTAAGTGTTTCCCACATAGTAGTAATGAAACATGTAAACTAAACAACAAAAGTAATGAAACTCAAAAAAAAAAAAAAAAAAAAAAAAAAAACCAGAATGGGGGGGGGGGAGAGCTTCAAACATACAACTGGAAAAAAAGATTCAAGAATGGGGATATAAGGATGTTGCAAAAGAAACCCAAAGATGCTTCTGCTACATTACATACACTTATCAAATATAATTCACAATTATTTACCATACATTTGGAGAAAAAAGATTCTATTTTTCTATTTTGGTTTTTTGAGAACAACTCACTCTACAGCCATGCTGGCCTAGAACTCACTATGTAGTTCAGGATGGCCTTGAATTTGTAATAATCTTTCTGCTTTTCTAAATGTTCTAATGAATCACCATGCCTGACAATTTTAAATTGACCATGCCTGGCAAATTTAAAACCATGATCCTAAAGTTCTCCTGGTGAGACATTCAAGTACTCTCACAGCCTTCGCCTTCAAACTTATACTGACATCTCTACTCCAAAACAAAATTTAAGGGGAAAGTGGGTGTCTCAAACAAGACCTGAATAAAAATTGGTTCTATCTCATTACAAATTAAATTCCTGAAAGTATATACATACTAGCAGAGTGTGATGGCACATGCTTTTAATCCTAGCACTCAGGAGGCAGAGACAGGTGGATTTCTGTGAGTCTGAGGCCAGCCTGGTCTATACATCAAATTCCAGGACAGCCAAGGCTACATAGTAAGATTCTAATTCAGAAAAACCAAAGTATATACATAATTCATGTGATTGTACTGATGCTCATTTTTTAATGTAGGGTCTCTATTTCTTCAGATTCTCAGGATGTATATGTACTCATACATACACATACACATACACACACACACACATACATATATATATGAGTATACATTTTATATATATTTATATACACAAACACCACTAATCTAGACTAATAAGAGTTGAGTTAATTCAAAGACTCCTCAAATTCATAGAGGAATATTAATACAAAGTAGCCTTTCGAAGAATTCCTACAGTCCAGCCAAGAAGTTCCAATATCCAAAGGCACATATCAATAACTCTGATCCCAAAAATAATTTACTCATAAATGCCAAAAGAAACTGCCAAAGAAGCCAGGCAAGTTGGCTCATGCCTGTAATCCCAGAAGGCTGTGGCAGGAAGATTACAATCCTCAAATTTAAGGAAAGCATGGCCACATAATGAGTTCTGGGCCAGTTTGAGCTTTTAGACTGAGACCTATTCCAAAAATACAACAAAAGGAAAATGTTAAAGAAAGTAAACTCTAGTACAACACATCATCCTGCTGGATGATCTTATGCCTGTGCCCTTCTACATTAAAGTGGGCAACCTAAATTCTTTCTAAATTAAATAGGTTTTTTTAATCTTTTAAAAGAAGTGTGTGAAATTAAATAGGCTTTTAAATGTTTAAAAAGGTGTGTGTGTGTGTGTACATCATGGATCAGCAAGGCCAGAAGAGGGTGCTGGGAACTGAACTTGGGTCCTCTGAAAGAACAGTGCATGATCTTAACCACTGAGCCTTATCTCCAGCCCCTTATTTTGCTTTCTAAGATAAAGTCACCTGTATCCCAAGCTGACTTTAAACTTGTGAAGCATAGGCTAGGCTTGAACTCAGGATCCTCCTGCCTCAGCTTCCAGAATGCTGGAATTACAAGTGTGAGCCACCACACTCAGGCTGAATAGGCTTTTAAAGAAATATTCGTGGTTTCAATTAAACAGAGTTATTTGCTCTCTCAACAACAGTTAATCAACAAATTTCAATTATTTTACCCCAAGACAGGGATCAATTAGTAAGTACCCAATCATTTTTGTTGTTGTTGTTAAATGAGTCAAAGTAGATCTTTTCTCTTGTAAACATAAAGCTAAACTGCCCAGATGGGAGTGTGGCTCAGTGGTAGAATGCTTGCTGGCAGCTTTAATGCCTTGGGTTTAATCACCCAGATACACCCCCCCCCCAAAAAAAAACTGAATCAGCAACAAACAACAGCTACCCTGATACAAATTAGGCTGTGGAAGTGTTTCAGTTATCAGACATACACACTACACTATCAGAAATGCTCTGCTAGCTCTGTAAACATAAAACAGTTAAAATACCTATCTCGTATATGTCAAACGGCAAGAAAAGTGTATACTCTATACATGTTTGACACTTTAGGCTCTCACAAGCATAATCCAACCATATGCCTCCTTTCCAAATACACTTGTATTTGCCAATAACAATCTCCTGAGACACTATGATATGGACAATACATTACTAAGTTAGAAATCAAAATATCTTGTAGTCCCAACTTTGCCACTAATTTAATATGTGACCTTGGAAAAGTACCTCTCCATGCCTCAATTTCCTATCATTTTCAGGGTTTTAGGATTAGAAGGAAACTGAAAGCATTCTGAATATACAAACCTTATGCTAACATAAGCACCACTATAAATCGACACGGCCTTATTCTCAGCCTAATTGCTCTGAGGATGATGTTCTGTGCTTTCATATGTATACAACTGACTCTATTCAAAGGCACAAACTATGTTAAGTTTCTTCCCTTCCTGACCCTAGCCTGCATGTTGTTTTATCTAGTATGCTAAAATACATGTACACTATCGACCTGGAGGACACGTCCCAACATTTGTTTTAAAACAATCTAACTTATAAAGAGAACTCGATTACACTCCCACAACCGCAGTCAAACTCCTGAGTACTTTTCATCTTTGCATATACACACATAAATACAGCAGCTATAAAACAACAGACCATCTGGTCTTCAAGACCCAAAACATTTCTTTCCAAGTACAAACTAACCAGTGACACTTACTAAACTTATTAACACTCGGATCACTATGTCATGTCTGCATATAGTTCCGCCTTTAGAGAACACACAGAGTTTGTTATACAGGTAAAGTATCGTCTGAAGATCATCTTCTCCCTTGCCTCTTCTGTCCCTTACACTGACACAAACTGGATCTTGGAAGAATGCTCCAATCAGGCCTACTACACAAACTAACCTGTCAGGGGCACAGCCGACTCCGCCTCCACTCGCTTACTTTCCCGTCCCCCTCCCCCAAACCAGGAGCCCGCCGGTCAGGGACACCCCGTTACCCCGCCTAGAGGGACTTCCCGGTAAGCTCAGGATCCCTTTCCCTCCTCTCCCCTCCCCCATCCTCACCCCGCTCTCCCGGAGGTCCAGGTCCGGGAGGTGACAGTGGATCACGGGAAGCCAAGGAGAGAGTACTTGGGCCTTCAAAGGCCTGCTCACACCGCACTACTCACCGTGAGAGGCCGAGTGCAGGCAAGTGGGGAGAGGGGGTGGCAGCCTGTCGCCTCGGCTTCTCCGGGTCCACACCGCAACCCTCCCGCTTGTCAGGGGGCGGCCAGCGGGTAAGCGGACCGGCGGAAACGCGAGAGGAGAAGCCAAAGGCGTAGATCGGAAAGGGGAAACCGAGGGAAGGCGGGTCCGATACCCGAGACCGGGAACGTCTCCCCCTCCGCAAAGCGAACCCAAAATGGCGGCGGGAGCGGCAGCGGCGGCGGCGGCGGTGGCGGCGGTGGCGGCGGCAGCAGCTCTGGGGAGGGAGGGAGCGAGCGAGCGAAGGGCGCCTTGTACCCCCCCCCCGCGCGCGCCTCCCACTCCTCCCTCCGCTCGGCGCGCTCTCCCCGCCGTCCCCCCTCACCCGACTCCGGACGCGCAGCGCGCACGCCCGCCGGCACGCTTCCGAGTGTCTGGACTGGTCGCGAGCTGCGCCCTCCGACCACCGCCTCCCGCCGCCCCGAGCCGGCAAGACCGGCGCGCTCCCTCCGGGGCGCCCGCTCGCGCGCTCCCGACTCCCTCTAGGCCCTCACGCGTACCTTCGGCGGCGCGAGCCCCAGCCTCCTCCTCCTCCTCCTCCTCGGCTCGCCTCCCTCCCTTCCCCGCCCCCACGGCTACCAACGGCAGCCACGGCCGCCGCCGCCTTCGCCCCCACCCCTCGAGCGTGCGCCTCCCACAATCCCCCCCGCGGGACGTTCCATTGCGCGCGGCGGCTGCCGGGGCAGGGGAGAAGAGGACCGGCCACGGCGGCTGCGGCTTGCCACGGCGACAGGAGTCGCTGGCGTAGCGAGCGGAGAGACTTGGGCACCGACCTCCTGGAACCGGCCGCCGCGGCGCCGAGACTCGCTGCCCGCTTCCGGCCGCAGGGCCGGCGGCGCGGTGCCCCTCCGCTGGGCTGTGGTTGGAGCCGCGGAGACTGCGCGTTTGGTAGCTTCCTGCCACACGGCCCGAGTTTGCTTCGCGGTCGCAGGACGGCTGCCTCGGATCCAGCTGCTGACGGCGTGTGCTGGTGGCCGCGGCGGGAGTACTGGAGGTGGACTCACGGTGAGGGGACTGAGCCGCACTGGGGATGCGATGATGGAGGGAAAGGAGCGTGTATCCGAGCCGCCCCGAGGTAGGGAGTGAGGCCAGCAGAGAGAGGGCTTCCTCCAGACCCAGGGCTGCGGACCTGGGACCGGAGGAAAAACTGGCACAGAAGGTCTGTTTTTATGTTAACGCAATTTAACTTAGTTGAGTTCAAACGGGTACCTATCCGCTACGGTGTTTGTGTGCTCCTCGCGCACTTCTCAAAGATTGTGCACACTCAGTTTTCAACTGGCAACCTGATGTGACAGCAGTGGTTCTCAACCTTCCTAATGCTGCGACCCTTGAATGCAGTTCTCCTGTTGTGGTGACCCAAACAAAAAATTCTTTTCGTTGGTACTTCATAACTTTAATTTTGTTACTGTTATGAATAGAGATATAACTATTATATGATATGCAGAATATCTCATAGGCGACCCTTACGGGTCGTTCCATTCCCAAAATGGTTGCGACCCCCTGGTTGAGAAACTGTGTAGAGTCTAAAGAAACCATGCACTCCGAATTTGTTTCTGGACTTGATTTTCTGTGGCCTTCGAGTTACTCTTCTAAGTTACTTATGGGACAGTGGGCGTAAAAATTAACTAACCCCAAAATATGCCTCCAGGGTTGGAGTATGAAATAATAAGATAATGTATGTAAAGTAGAATTCGCCCCAAGGCACGGGGAAAATGCAGAATATTGTTATCATTTACCACGCTGTTGATGTTGATAAGACTTGTAGGTGTAATTGGTAGTTTGCATTCTGTTCATTCAACCTGTTGGTTAAACAAGACCTATGGCATTCCTTGGCTGCTAATATTTGTTTCTCAAAACTGCATTGATATTTGATGGCTGAATTCACAACTATGGAATGTTAAAACCCCAGTGTTTGATCTACCTATTTTTAGTATCTCACAAAAAGCAAAGCAAAATTTTAGAGAAATGATCTACTTGAGTTTCCCTTCTTATCTGGGAATTCTTGCATTTGTGATTTGGGGAAGTTTTAAATATTCCATTCCATTTATCTACAAGACCCCAAAAGTCTTTTGGGGGAAAGTGAGCAATAGAGTGTCTTTTGAGATAGTCTCTTTATCCCAGGCTTGCCTGGCACTCTGATAGCCATCTTCTTAGGCTCCCTGGTAATTGGATTACAGGCATGAGCCCTCACACCTGCCTTTCAGGTGATCAAACATTCACCTATTACCTGTATGGGTCAGGATTTGTCTTATGTTTCCTTCGAGTTACAGAAAAAAAAATCAGCCTTACTTATCTTACTGTGTAATTACTTTTGTTAACCAAGCTCTAGCTGATTAATGGAGCCCAACTAGGTTTATACTCATTCTTCCTTAATAGCTTCACGTGTACAAGTTTGTAAGCGTGGGCCTGTGTGTTCTTGCATGCAGACTGTCTTGACTTCTTTATAAGTTTTCGTAGTCTGTTTTAGAGTAAATGGAAATATTAAAAAAGTGTCACATATTTAAATACTAGAACTTACCAAGTGAAAGGTTGTAATCTCAACACTCGGAGGTGGAGACAGGAGAATCAGAACTTAAAGGTCATCCACAGCTATACAGCGAGGCCTTGGCCAGCCTGGGTTACATGAGACCCTGTCTCAAACAACAGCAAAGGATGACAGGAAGGAATGGAAGGAAATGTCACACTGAGAAGCGTAGATAGAATAATATACTGAAAGAACATGTTTAACCCTTACAACAGCACTTTGAGATAATCTTATCTTCATTTTTCAAGGAAAAAGCTTGAAGCTCAGAGAAAGCCATAACTTGATCTTTAGGCAGAAATTGCCTATCTCTTAAAAACCTAACTTTTCCCTATACCACACTGCCTTCATAGTACAATTTCTTTTATTTACTATTTTGTATGTATGGGTGTTTTGCCTGTATGTATGTATGTCTGTATTGTGTGTGTGTCTCCAGATTGCCTATGTTTCCTTATTCTTCTGCTAGCATTAGCCCTCAAGCTGAAGACAGCTGGGAGTCTGAACTGCTACACTATAGCCATGTTTTTGAGCAGACCTTATACTTGCTTTTCACAGTAGAAGAAACGGCCCATATGTGGGGTGTTTTGTTTTGTCTGCTGTGTCTGTGCACTGTGAGCAGTACCTGAAAAGCCAGAAGAGGGCATCAGATCCCTGAAACTGGAGTTAAAACCTGAGTGTGCTCTTAACCCCTGAGCCATCTCCATCTCTGATACTAACTTTTAAAATAAGGTTTCAAATTCTGAAAGAATTGGTACTGCAAAGATTAACCATGCCTTTGGTAAGAAGTACCAAGATTTTTTTTTTTTTTAAAGTATCAAGCTTTTAGACTCAGGCCCTGAAAACTAGAAATCAATTCTATAGAAACTTTACAAATCTGTTATTATTTTTCATTTATTTAATTCCTTCTTTTTCTTTTCAAAGATTTATTTATTATGTATATACACATCAGAAGAAGGCACCAGATCTCATAGATGGTTGTGAGCCACCATGTGGTTGCTTGGAATTGAACTCAGGACCCTCTGGAAGAGCAGCCAGTGCTTTTAACCTCTGAGCCATCTCTCCAGCCCCCTCCCCCACCCTCTCTCTTGTGGACAGGTTCTTCCTAGCCCTTTAGAATCAAAGTGTTGCAATTGGATGGTTTGGTTTAATTCAGTTTTGATATGTGTTGTCTGTGTTTGTCTGTGTTGCCTTCCCAATCATGACCCTCCTGTTGTGATTACACATGCACACCACCAAGGTAAACTCATTTGAACAGCTTTTTTTTTTTTTTTTTTTACACAATATTATCAGCATTTCTAAATGTTAATAACATTAGAAATGGAAATCAGTATCACTTGGCCTTTTGGCTAAGATGGTATGTAAAAATAAAATTTAAGATGTATAATTTGTAGGGATGGGTGTATAGATTAGTTGTAGAATATATGCTAGGTATACATGAGTCTTAGGTTCAGCTGCTAAGGATAGGGGAGTAATGCACCATTAGCGCTTATATGCCACATCATTTTTGGTATACTTTCTTTAGTAGTCTCTATGTAAGCACCATTTCAAACTGTAACATGGAACCATCACTTAACTGTTTAATCCGATGACCTAAGTTCAGCCCCTAGGACTTAAATCATGGAAGAAAAACAGCAATTCCATGAAAATGCCATGGCAGCACAGTCATACACACATACAAAAGCACTCATGCTAAATGAAAACTATAATGTAGATGGAAGTTTCTGTTCCTCCTGGTCCTGTTGCCGTTTAGTTCCAAATAAACACACAGAGGCTTATATTAATTATAAGCAGTTTGGTGGATGCTCAGGTTTTTTATTGGCTAGCTCTCTCTTAATTATTAACCCATTTCTACTTACCATTACCATTTGGCTTACCACTATTGCCTGGGCTTCTTTCCTCCTCAGCAACTACATGGCGTCTCCCTGGAGATTCCTCTCTGTCTTCCCAGAATTCTCCTCATCTGATAGCCCTGCCTGTACTTCCTGCCTGGCTACATCCTGCCTGGCTACATCCTGCCTGGCTACATCCTGCCTGTCCATTGCCTGAAACAGCTTTATTCATCAACCAATAAGAGAAACATATTCACAGCATACAAAAGGACATCCTCCCATCACTATAATGTACAATTAGGTTGAGATCAACAGTGTAGACATATCATTGAGCCCTACAACTTTAGGATCTTAACTGTGTATACATTTCACATCTTTTTATATTTTCAAAAGGTTTTAAACTATGCCCCATTTTTGGAAGTTTATATATATATAATAAACATATATATATATATATTTGAGAATTAAAACCTCTACCAGACTCCAGATAAAATGTTTTGATTTGATGGATTTGGCTGTATATTTCCTGTATGCAGAACATACTGGATTAGAAATCAACAACACAGGTCTCATTTGATAAAATGTAGACAAACTGTGCTTTTAAAATTTTAGGTACTGTTGCAGATTGCAGAAGGACAAGAGTGCATGTATAAGGACAACTTGTAGGCATCAGCTCTGTCCTTCCATCATAGAGATTCCAGAAATCAAACTCATGTCGTCAGAC